ACTTTTCCACGCGTGTGAAGTTTCCAAGAAACATGTCGCTCACCTTTCCGCCTTTCTCTCCTACATGATTACTTTTCCCTCTCCACTGGATCTTTCATTGCAACATGAAAACATCTTACTTCTTCTATTTAAAAAACAAACGAACAAGCCTGTCCTCACTGGCTGCTGATCCTCCCCGCGCCCCTTCAGATTGCAGAGTTCTGTCTCCTCCCTCCCAGCCCCCTCACTTCCCTACTGACTTCCAGCTTTTTGTTCCTAGGCCAGACTTTTCTATATCCAACTGCCTGTGGGCACCTCCGTTTGGACGTGTAACAGTTATCTCTCCTGATTCCGAGCCCAACCCCAACTCCCAGAATGCACACATGTATACACATACATACACACATGTGCCCACATGCCTTGTCTACCATCTCCCCATCTCTTTCAGTTGCCCAGGCCCCAAACCTGGGAGTCACCCTTGACTGTTTCTTTGACATCCCACATCTAGCTCATCAGCAAGTCTTGTTGGCCCCACCTTCAAAGCAGATCTGGAATCTGGCTACTTCTCGCCACATCCCTGCTGGCTCCCTGGTCCACGCCTGGAGGGCCTCTCCTAACGGTGCCTCCTGCTCCCTTCCTTGGCTCCTGTCTTCATTCTTTTCTTAACACAGCATCCGAAGTGATTCTGGGTGGACACAGGTCAGTCTCGTCGCTCCTCTGCCCAGGGCCTCGATGGCTTTCCATCTCATTCAGAGGAAAAGACAAAGTTCCTCAAACGGCCACCAGGTGCAAAGTGACCTGACTCCTCACTACATCTGAACTCACCTGCTACTCTCCCCTGGTGCCTGCCGCCCCAGCCACAGGCCTTCTCACTCACTGTCCCTTAAGCATCTCACAGGCATCTGCACTTCTGTTCCTTCTGCCTTTGGTTTCAGTCACCTCCTCAGGGAGGCCCTCCCTGACTGCCACTTTTAAAATTATAATCCTCGATACCCTTTAACCTGTCCCTACTTTATCGCCATCCAACAAACCAGACGTTTTGTTTCTATGTGTGTTTGTGGTCTCTTTCCCCTCACTAGAAGCCAGCTCCACAAAGGTGTGGGATGTGGTCCTTTTTGGTCGCTGTAATCCCAGTGCCTAACCTCCCACCCATGACTGTTGAATGAATAAATGATTCTGTAAAAACACATTAACTACCTTTGTCACCAAACGCCATTCTTTTCAAACGGAGCACTTCACTAAATCTTTCTCTATCAGGGTACTTTGAAAACTTACTTGCAGTTTTAGGTCCCAGCTAATTATCAGAAAGTAGATATTGTCTCCTACGTCCTGTCTTTAGCTCCCAGGGACCCCCTCTTCTGGCCTGGGAGAAACTTCTTAAAAATTTTTTCTTTTTATTTATTGATTTTAGAGAGAGAGAGAGGAAGGGGGCTTGGAAAGAGAAACATTGATTTGTTTTTCCACTTATTTATGCATTCATTGGTTGCTTCGTCTATGTACCCTTACCGGGATCAAACCCACAACCCTGGCGTAGCGGGATGATGCTCCGACCGAGCTCCCTGGCCAGGGCTTGGGAGAAGCTACTTTTTAGCCGCCATCTCCCCAACGCCTTAGCCCGTCCAAGCCTTTATGCTCAGACATAGAGGCAGAAGCCTCCCTACATGAAGGAGTCTGTTTTCCTTTCGAGCCTGACCTTTCTTTGACTTTTTATAATCTGGGATAAAAATCAGCTCTTCTTCCCTCCCGACCCCCAGCAGGTTCACTATAACGGAGCAGTATTAAACCTTGCCACCATTTCTACTGTAGCTTACACAGTGTTTGTACCGAAGAGCTTGCCGAAAAGACGCCAACAGCAGACCTTTTCAAGCCAGAATACAACCGTATTTTTAATGAATCAGTTGAAGCAACTCTATGGAAAAGACAGTGGGTGTGGAAAGGAAAAGCTCTAGTTTATAAAAGATCTTTTGCCAGATCCTACTGATGTCATTTACTTTTTTGCTCCTGGGCCAGCCCTTTAGAAACTCAGTGATATTCTGAGCGAGCCAGGATCTTGGCCCCGGGCGCTGGGATCCAGTGGGAATGCTTCTGGAAGGGCTTCTGTGAGTCAGCTCCCTTTGGCCAGACCGCCCTGGCACCCAGGGGGACCCCAGGCTGCCGAGAGGGATGGTGAGGGGTGGAGGGCAGCGAGGCTCTGAGGCTGTAGACCTGGGGTAGGGGTTGGGGGCGTCACAGTCCAGCTCCGTCCTTGCTGCTGAGTCACCTGGGGCATAGTCGCTTCCTGCCCCACGCCAGTGTTCTTACCTGTATGTGGTCAGAATAGCACCTGCCTTCTGAAGTGACCGGGGAGCAACCGAGGTGTGCTCAGTACTGCTATTCCCAGTTCGCCAGAACTTATTGAACAATGACCACAGGCCTTTCCTGTCACTCATGATCGAAAACTCACAGGACGCTAAAATGGACACTTGAAAATGACCTACATCCTCCCACAGACCTGAAGGCTTCCTTTCCCTGTTAAACTGCTTTAAAAAGAAGCAGTTTATATGTATTTAATAAAGACAGATATTTGTATAGTAATTAAGGCATAGATGTCTCTTTTTAAATAGCCTGGCTAGTTCCCTCCAGCCCCACAAGCCTTGCTGTGGCAGGAGCTGGGGGCTGGGACCTGAGCCAGGTGTGTGCAGTTCCCCGGGCGGCCACGCTGACCGCAGGTGAGTCATTGGGTCTTAACCGAGTCGGTGGGGCTGGAACAGCGATGCGGGTGCGCGGAAAGCGACCTCCCAGCGCCGAATCCTAGAGAGCGCTTCTTACCGAGCACGGCGGCCGGTAGGAAAAGAGATGCCCTGAAGGCAGGGTGTATTCCCTTTGGGTTTATTGCCTACACCCACATGCATTTCTGCATTTCTACACGTGGGTGCAGGGGGTGGGCGAGGGTGGTGGCCAGGGGTTGGGGCAGGGGTGGGGCGGGGCTGTAGAGGAGGAGAATCTCCCAGGGGGTGGTCACCCTGAGACTGTTTTCCAAGGGAATCCTCCGAAATTAGGCCTGCATGTGGGGTGGGGATGGAGTAAGGATGAAGGTGAGGGGAACAGGAAGTACGTTTGGAAAAACTGTTTTTATTTGGATGTGACTCCCATTTCGTCTTTAAAAAAAGATGCAAATTGTGTATGCCTTTTATAATGAGAAAAAACTGTTCAAAATGATCAACTCTGTGGAAGGCTTTTGATGATGGTCGGAGGGACTCCATAGCATTTGTTGACTGAACTCCGAGGTGAACGACTACTCTAGCGCTTATCAGCGGCCTCACTCTGGCCCTGGTTCAGCTGTGCAGGCTGCCTGTCTTTACGTAGATTGTTATTGTTACCGAGGGCAGACCTTCCCCAGCGAGGACGGGGCCGGGTGGGACTGGAGCAGTTGATCCCAGGACCACGCTGTGGAAATGTCTGTTGAGAATCTTAAGCTTTCTTTAACGAAATTATCTCATTTTTTAAGTGGCTGACACGTACAGATGAAGGAATGCTTCATCGTTTACAGGGCGATTCATTTACATTTTTTAATCCGACCCTTGCAACAACACAGCAAAGTTAAGTTTAGGTGTGGCTACCATGTCACCTGTTAGTGACCTAAAGCTCAGAGACTTGCCAGAGATCACACAGCCCATGAGAGGCAGAACTCAAATCCTAAGTTCCTTGCGGGGGGCAGGGTAGCTCATGATGTGGTTATCGTGTTTACAAACCTCGTTACCAATCAGATCATCTCTCTTGGCTTCCTAACAGCTGTGCATTAGAAGAGTGGCTTTTATCACTTTTTTTTTTTAATAAGTGAATTAAGTAAAACCCCCAGTGTCACACGAGGTAAATGGCAGAACGCAACTTCAATGTTTCTTTGCTCTCTGTTTCCAAGGGTGGCCCCCAATGTGTGTGCACACGGTGAGCGGGGAGGGGGGGGTGTGTGTGTAATGGTCTTCCAGAAATAGAGGAAAATGCTACATTAATTATTTGCGCCAGGGCAACAATCATTTCACAGCTCAGCTCGGAGAACTGGCAAGTCCCTGATCTCAGGCTTAAAAAAAAAGGACTAAAATCACAAATAAGTGCAGTGCCCCTACCCCCGCATTTCAGATTCCTCCGTTCTGTGTGCTCCGTTCCCACAAGGCCCTCCTTCCCTGACACTCCGCTTGGGAGGCAGGAGGCTCCTCCTCACGCCCCTGCCCCAGTCTGCCGCCTACTCTGGATCTCTAGAAACACCTATGGGCCTGACTTCTCTTTCCAGTTCTTGCCGGGTGAGAGACCTCATTTGACTTTAGGCGGTGGGCAGAAAGATTTCAGTCCGGACCGGCACAGAGTGGCCGGCACTCAGTGGCCGGCATTCTTGGCCCCTCACTTCCTGACAGTGATAAACTCTGGCTGGAGGTGCTGCCACCGCCTGCCACCTGGAGCTGGGCCTGGGGCAGAGAGAAAAGGCAGCATGTCGGCTTTGAGGAGCTCCACCCGAAGGGAGGGAAGTCGGCTGTGAGGATCATGAGGGGGCCGGGGGCCCCTTCCTTCACGGGGGTGGACTGGTGGCCGGTGGGGGCAGCAGGCAGGTGGGCATGAGGATGCTGAAGAATTACCCTTCCTCTCCTGCCACTGGGAGGGCCCTACTGGCTGGAAAGGTGTGTCTGCCTCTCCAGGTAGCCTCTAGGCACCCACAGTCCCATTGAGTTAGCGTTAGGCCTGGCCACGCCCGCCCCCCCGCGGCAGCCTGGGAGAGGGGAGCTTGAGGGAGTCTGTTTGCAAAGATGCCTGGGCCCTGGCACGTCAGAGAGGGGTGCCCGAGGCCCCTCAGGGCTTGGGTCATTTGCACTACCATTTGCCCATCGCCTTCTAACACGTCAAGATGCATAAAGCAGTCAGCAGAGGTGACAATAAAGGAGGGCGTGGGGCTTCTAATTTCCTTCTCTCTTTCACGCCACCCTCCCCCAAATTCCTAATTGTATTTCAAAAAGAACGATGAGCATCAGACGAATGAATAAAGAGCAACTCACCCCTGCTCCACCTGGGGGGCACCGTCGCCTGCGCATCGTAACACAGCAGCAGGAGCAGCAGGGTCTTCCAGCACATCTTTGCCTCCACGAAGGTGAGACGCTGCCCTGAAACCCAGGGGCCCCAGGAGCTACAGGTGTGCCCGAACCGGTCCTCCCCAGGAGATGGTGCAGTTCTTACCTCCTTTCCCTTTTCAGAGGAACAAATGCCCTTTCCCACCTCAGAAGGTAGAGGCAGGGGTGGCCTCCTAGGGGACGGGAGTGGAAACCTCTCTTATTCCGACTCGCTCTGGGATTGGGGGACTGGGCTGCCACAGAGAGGCTCTGTTTTTGAACACATCTGGAGTGACTCACGGGGCATGTGATCTCCTTGGCAGTGGGGTGGATAAATATAAATTCTGTACTTGAGTTCCATGTGTTGGATGCACCCACTGGAATTTTTCTTTAACAAACAGCCTCGTGGAACTTGTTAGAGAGCCCGGCAAAGAGCTGGCTGCTCTCCCCGTCCACACACACATACCAGAGCCAGGGCGAGGGCTGCAGGAAGGGCTGGGAGGCTTGTCTCACAGACGCCGGGCTCATGAAGTCCGGAGTTGCCTTCAAGACAACAAAGTCATTGTCGTGTCTGGGCTGAGAGTCTTGTCCTTCCTTGGAGTTAGACCTAGTGATGTGGGTGCCTACAGCTGGGGCTGGAGCCTTCCCTGGCATCCGCAGGGCTGGGGAGTTGGCAGGTTGGCAGGAGCAGAAGTGGGGAGGTGCTGCCCTGCTCAGGTATAGTGTGTGCAGGTAACGATCCAGGGGCCCATAGGTGACCCCCTTTCCCCATTGACATTCATAACACCCTACTTTCTGGGCAGCGTCTAGACCTGGCACCAAACGACTTGGATTTTCCTAAGCAAAATCGTAGTAATTTCCATGGTAATATTTTTGGTATTTAATTAATCAACAAATCAATTATTTTTATTGAGATATAATTGACATATAACTGTGCAAGTTTAAGGTGCACAATGTGTTGATTTGATGCACATATATATTTGCAATGTGGTCATCAGTGTCGTGTTAGCTAACACCTCTATTGTATGACAGAATTCTCATTTTTTTTTTTTGTGGTAACAAAAAGATGCATGGTCATTTTCAAAGTGCTGCATAGAACACCTTGATTTTGTCCAATAGCACTTCCTTTACTTTTCTGAAATTACAGACATTTAATGCTACAGCTCAAAGGACAATTAAAGATGGCGAACATTGGCCCTGACCGGTATGGATCAGTCGGTTGGACATCATCCTGCAAACTGAAAGGCCTTGGGTTTGATTCCTGGGCAGGGCACATGCCTGAGTTGATCCCCAGTCGGGACGTGTGAGAGGCAACCAATCAATGATTGTCTCCCTCTTTTTCTCCCTCCCTTCCCCTCTCTCTAGAATCAATAAAAGAAAAAACAAAACAAAACACGGTGAACCTTGTGCGTTTCCCACCTGAGAACACGGTAACCAGCATGAACAGACCACTCCTTTTTATCTGTTACAAGTTGCTTGAAAAAAAAGGTGACTATAAGATTTGAAAATCATTGATCTCACTAACATTAAGAATAGCTAGTGGGTGTTAATTTTTCCATGCACTCTACTTGCTGTTCTCCTTGTATTAATTGATTTAATACTCACACCAAGCTCTGAGAACAGTATAGAACAGCACTCTTCAGTAGAAGTATAACGTGAGTTACAAATGTCGTTAAAAATTTTCTAGTAGTCATGTTAAAAAAAACATGTAACAGGTAGATTTATTTGCAGTAATATATTTTATTTAGCCCAACATATCCAAAGTGTTATCATTTCTGCATGTGATCAGTGTTAAGTATCAATGAGATATTTTCTATTCTTTTTTTTTTATACTAAATCTTTGAGATCCAGTGTGTATTTCACTGTACAGCGCACCTCAGTTCTGCCAGCCACCTTGCAAACACTCAATAGCTGCATGTGGCCAGTGGCTGCAGCGCAGGCTGCAAGGTGAGAGGGCAGGCTCCAAGCACACCGCCTGTTTTCTAGCTGGCTCGGCCCCTTACTTGCTGTGGGATCATGGCTGTATTCTTTAATATCTCTCTTTTTTTTAAAAAAAAATTCTTACCTGAGGATGTGTTCATTGATTTTAGAGAGAGAGGAAGCAGGGGTGGGGGAGGGGGGAGAGAGAGAGGAGAGAGCAGAGAACAGAGAGAAGAAGAAAACATCTATGTGAGAAAGGAACATCAGGGATCAAACCTGCAACCCAGGTATGTGCCCTAACTGGGAATTAAACCCCTAACCTTTTTGGTACGTGGGATGATGTTCCAACCAACTGAGCCACCTGGCCAGGGCTCCTTAGTCTCTTTTTGCCTCGATTTTCCTCATCTATTGAATGGGAATAATACATTTCTTTTTCATAGGGTTGTTGTGAGGGATCAATGAATTTAATATGTATAAAGTGCTGAGGACTATATGCAGCGCATCCATAGGTACTACTACATACATGCAAAGAGAGAGGCTCAGAGGGGTTAAGTAATCTACCCAAGGTCACCCAGCTAGTAGGTGATGGAGCTGGGATCGCGACCTAGGCCTGAGTGGCGCCACAGGCCGCACACCGAGCTGCTCCCCTAGGCTGCCTTTACATTTGGGAACCTCCTAGTGTAGTGCTGGTCGACCAGTTCAGGAGGGGCGGGGGAAGCCCTGATTTGTAGCACTTGCCGATTTTCCTGGCAAAAATACTTCCACTGTGGTTTCAAGCTACGGATGGCTTGCAAAATATCTGAATAATTATTAGGAACAATGGGCTCTCTGGCAGCCCAGCCAAGCTGGTCCACACGCCACTCCCCTTACTCACACGGTCTGTTCTAGAGGCTCTGACGACTCCTCTGCTTCTGCTGTAGTCTCTTTTTGTATTTCCTTTTTAAAAAAAGTATCTTGAACTATTTTTATTCTTTTTAAAAAATTATTATATTTTCCAGTTTTATTGAGATGTAATTGACATATAACACAGGTGTACAAACATAATCTTTTGATACCTGGTATATATTGTGAAATGATCACCACAATAAATTTAGTTAACATCCATCGTTTCACATAGTTACACATTTTTTTCTTGCAATGAGAACTTTTAATTTCTACTCTCTTAGCAACTTTCAAATATACAATACCACGTTGTGCGTTACATCCAAAGAAATTATTTTTCTTATTACTGGGTAGTTTGTATCTTTCGACCGCCTTTACCCATTTCCCCCATCTCCTGCCCCAGGCAACCCCCAATCTGTTCTCTGTTTTTATGAGTTTGGTGTTTTGGGGATTCTACATGTAAGTGAGGTCCTACAGTGTTTGCTTTTCTCTGTCTGACTTATTTCACTTAGCATAACGTCGTCTGGGTTCATCCATGTTGTTGCTAACAGCAAGCTTTCCTTCTTTTTTATGGCTGAATAATACTCCAGTGTATGTAGGTGCATGCGTATCTATCTATCGCATTTTCTCTGTCCGCTCATTCACTTGGGTTGTTTCCATAGCTCAGCTATTGCAAATACTGCTGCAATAACCACGGGGGTGCAGGTGTCTCCTCAGGACAGTGGTTTTGATTCCATTGGACATATACCCAGAAGTGGAATTGTCGGATCATATGATAGTTCTATTTTTAATTTTTTGAGGGACTCTAATACTGTTTTTCTTAGAGGCTGCACCAATTTACACCTCCACCAACAGTGCATAAGGGTTCCCTTTTCTCCACATTCTCACCAATACTTATCTCTTGTCTTTTCGCTAATAATCATTCCAACAGATGTAAGGTGGTATCTCACTGTGGTTTTGATTTGCATTTCTCTGATGACTAGTGCTGCTGGACATCTTTTCATGAACCTCTTGGCCATTTGAACATCTTCCTTGGAAAAATGTCTATTCAGTTTCCCTGCCCATTTTTTTCAATCTGGTTGTTTGTATTTCTGCTATTGGGTCATAGGAGAGCTTTATATATTTTTGGATAGGAATTTCTTATCAGGTATAATTGGCAAATATTTTCTCCCATTCTATAGGTTGTCTTTTCCTTTTATTGCCTCTGCTGTGCAGTGTACTTCTTGTTTAAATCTGCAAGGATTTCCCAAAGGACCGAGCGCATGATGACTGGGTGCCCTGTTGTTGCCCATTGGAAATTGGTGCTGAAGCTGGGAAACCCCCCGCTTCCCTGCTGTTTTACCCAAACTCCCGCGAGTGAGGAGGGAGCTGCGAGGGGAAGATGGACCTGACTTGGCTGGCCACAGGGAAGCCAGGACCAGAAATCCCCGCCTTGGCCTCCAGTCTTAGACTTTTTCGTCTGCAGGCTCACATCGCCAAGCTGACACCTACTAATTGCTAAGCTGGATGCAGGTCAGCTTCTGAATTTGGGCTGGGAACAAATGCGTTTGTAACTCATTTCATTTCATAAGATGATAAGCCAAGCTGTCTCTTCTATCACTGACCTTGGCAGCTAGAGGCAAACGTTTACTGTTCTCAAGGGCTCTTGGGAAACTCCGGCTGGGCGTACTGATTTTTTTTTTCTCCTCTTTCCATGTTTTTCTTGTTCTTGCTGCATTTTGACACATTCTGGTTGAGACTGGTGAGCAAATGCAAAGCACTGTCTTTTGTAACAGATGACAGTAAAACCATGACTAATGGAGCTTCCCAAGTGTACAGATTATGTAAGAAATACTTTGGGGTCGGGGGAGATGTGCTACATAAGGCAACACTTTTCAAGTTCATGTTCGCCTCCGAACTCCCACTGTGCCTGTGGGTCAGCTCTTGTCAGCACCGATAATTTCCCAGCTTAGTCACATAAGCCATTGAGTTCTGACCTTATTTCAGTTCATTCAATTTTCACAGCAATTTTGTTCAGTAGATGCTATCATACAGTCTGTTTTACGTATGGCCAACTGACGCTTAGAAAGGATAAATAACTACTAAATGGTAAACACATCCCTGTGTGGCCTAGCAGGGGCTGGGGTGAAGACAGAACACCAAGAAAGCCGCTCCAGTGCCCCGGACGCCTGAGGTAGTAGAGACAACGCTGCGCTGGCCCCGCTCCGCAGTCATAGATGTGTG